TGAATTTAGACAAATCCTCAGTCTTTGTCAATGTCAGGTGTTATCTTTTAAATTTGTTTCCTTTTAATTTATTATTTTCCAGGGGGGGGGGCAAGTCTCCCCTGGAAACCCCCCGCCACTGCCCCCCACACCCCTAAGAATCAAACAGTGTAACGGTTAAAATTATCAGAATAAAGGGTAGGTTTCGTGGTTTATTTATCTTTTCCTCCTCCGCTGGGAGGTTGCGTGACAATTTGTAACTCCGGTAATTATATGTCTCCTCCGGTGGCCCGGTTCCGGAGAAATATGCTGCTACTATCTTCCAGCATTCTGATATGAATCGGATCATTGAATGATTCTAAAGATGATTTTTATATCCTTTTCTCTCTTTTATTCTAACTTGACAATAATTCGTCCATTCATTCCAAAATGTCGTCTTCATCCCAGTTAACCTTTGTTTAAACACTTTATAGTTCGTTCTTTCCAAGTTTTACTTAAGCTTATTTTATTTAACTGTACTCCTATTCTAAACTTCAATATCTAAGCTTGTTGTCTTCCAGTACAGTGGTTCCAAACAAAAACATCTATTCCTTTGCCCAATCTCCCCAATTACTCAACTACCATTATACCATCCCTTCTTAGTATCCTGACAATCATTGATTCCTAATACCAAATCTTCCAATCCTAAATTTCTCTACAGTTGATTTCCATCCCAATCCCAACTTCCTCTTCCATTCAAATTCCCAACCTACTCCCAATTTGTCCTATCCGTTCATATACATTATGAAGCCCAAATCCCAATTCCTTGGACATTATTTGATAGTCGTTTGGGATCCCAATGGTTTGAATTTTATGCAAAGGTTACGACACTTATACAGACTTTTTATTTTTATTATCTATGACAAACGACAATGAACAAGAAAAATATGAATTTTAGAAGTATATGAAAAGACACAACACTCCTGTATTTCAAGTCCATTAGCGTCTGATCCAATCAAGTCATGTGTTTGTTGTCATTCTGAACCAATAGAAATAGTATTGGGGTAACATCTATCTTTTTATCATTCTTATTATCCAATTAGAGATTTGAATCCTTCAATCGGCGATATCAGTAAACGGAAATATTTACTTCTACTGAAACTATAGTTACAAGCCTGTGTAAAACCAGCCTGTGTGCATGTTTTTACGCAGTATAAGTATGCCAAGCCTAGCTAAAGAGGTGATTAGATCCCTTGCAACAAAATTTATTATTGTGTTTTAATGTTTTCGCTTTAATATCTTTTTTATACCTAAAAGTGTTATATCGTCAAATATTACTATCTTTGAATTTTGCAATCAAAAAGCAGGCTACACAGTCTATATAGAACCAGAAAAGAAAAAAACCATGATGTGAACTGCAAAGATCAGAGGACTGTTTGACCCTCGTGGTCAAAGCAAGTGCAGAAGAACCTTGTATTCTTTATGTTAAGATTATGACCAGATCTGATTAATATCTAGTTTGCATCGAATCAAAGATTTATTAAAGTAAACATCAGATTGCTGGTTAAAGACAAAGAACTTTATATATATACCCCATTCTACCGTCCGAGATACCCCCGCATATATATTTCCATCATTTTCCAATACAAATAGTAATAATAGTAATGATAATAATAATATCAAAAATAATGAGATGATATTCGCAGATTTTTCCAAGAACTTGGATACTTCGGCCAACCTAGTTTGCCGGCCAAGCTCTCCTCCGCTGAGAAACTGATTGGACGTCTGCTTTACCAGTTCCAGTGCGGGATAAAATTCAACCAACATGGTAAATTATCTAAATCAGTCCAGTTTATCTACCTTTCTACCAGAACCAGTTCCACTCTAAAATATGCTGTACAATCACATCTTTTATATTTGGATCTTGCAAGTTGCATTTACCCATCTTTGGAAATAATTGGATCCCTGTGCATTGTGTAAATAATCACACAAGTTTATCAGAAAAGGTAGTTCTAGATGGTTCTAGAAGTGTTCATTTTTCTGCTAGTTAACCACTGATAACTTTTAATCGCAATTATTGAATACTGTAAGAGATTGTTTCGCTAAAACTGTACACTGTAAAAGGTAACCCACAAAAATGGAGACTTTCCCAAAGTTATCTAATTTTTTCTTCACTTTCACACACTAGTTTCATTTTCTTGTTAAAGGAATTGAGTCTTTGCCACAAACTCTAATTTTCTAATCTCTATATCTCTGCCACAATGTAGTATTTTAAACAATGAATTCTGTTAAATCAAATCATCTTAGTTTGAAAGAACAAAGGTTTACACCGTCAGGTTGGGAAGATATAGGGATTAGAAAACTTGAGTTTGTTGGAAAGACTTCTCAAGATTTCTTAACAAATTCGCACGTTTTTTTTTATATGTTCATCAAATCTATTCCAAATATATATTCAAAGTATATTTATTACCAGGCGTGTATCAGGCTGAAAACGTGGAAGCTGGGAAAAATCCTTCACTATTTGACGTCGGTAATATAACTAGCATACATTTACTTCACTATTTGACGTCGGTAATATAACTAGCATTCATTTCCTTCACTATTTGACGTCGGTAATATAACTAGCATACATTTACTTCACTATTTGACGTCTGTAATATAACTAGCATACATTCACTTGCGAAAAACTAATTTTAAATATCAAACTTCCTCATAGGTTACACTTCCTATAAAATTACATTTCCCGCAAGTTACATTTTTTGAAAGTTTACATCTACTATAAATTAATACTTCCTATAACTACATTTCATATACAGGGACTGTAAGCATAATTTTAAAGACGGACATCCCTGATTCGGTAGATTCGGTACCCTTAAACCTTTAAACCTTTAAACCTTTAAACTTTTAAACCTTTAAACCTTTAAACCTTTAAACCTTTAAACTTTTAAACCTTTGACTGATCATCAAGGACAGAGAACTCTTTGTTTATATATATTAAATGTCGAGTGAAAACCCGTAGAATTCAGTATACACTAGCGTTCTGTTTGAACTCAAATCAAGAATATTCTTTGTTTAAAGCGGTTTCTAAAATTTGAATGAGAATATTCTCATTCTGACTCTTCTATAAAGTAAATATTAATACTCGATAAATAATAAACAGCTTTAAAACATAGTGTTTAACAATTGCAAACGTTTCTGTAGATTAACCCTTAACAGGCTGGGGGGGGGGCGTTTGGCGCCCCACCCCCTCTAAAAGGAATTTAAGGAAGTGTAACTTTATAGAAATTGTATCCTTGAAGGATATGTATGGCAAGTGTGAATATAGTAAGAATAATCTAGTTTGATCATATTCATATTAAGTGAATAGTTCTATAATATGTAACTTTATAGGAGATGTAAGTATAGTAAGTGTGACATAGAAAGTGTAAACATATCTCTATTATATAAAATGTAATTAAACTATTATACATTATGATAGGAGCCTCTTTGTATCCAATTATACATTATAATAGGGACCTCTGTGTATCCGATTATACATTATAATAGGGACCTCTGTGTATCCAAATATAAATTATTATAGGAAACTCTTATTATCCAATTATACATTTTATGGGAACCTCCGTGTATCCAAGTATACATTATTATAGGAACCTCTGTATATCCAATTATACATTATTACAGGAACCTCTGTATATCCAATTATACATTATTACAGGAACCTCTGTATATCCAATTATACATTATTATAGGAACCTCTGTATATCCAATTATACATTATTATAGGAACCTCTGTGTATCCAATTATACATTATTATAGGAATCTCTGTATATCCAATTATACATTATTACAGGAACCTCTGTATATCCAATTATACATTTTTATAGGAACCACTGTTTATCCTATTATACATTATTTTAGGAACCTCTGTATCCAATTATACATTATTATAGGAACCTTTGTGTATCCAATTATAAATTATTATCGGAACCTCTGTGTATCCAATTATAAATTATTATGGGAAACTCTGTATATTATTATAGGAACCTCTGTATAGGAACCTCTGTGTATCCAATTATATATTATTACAGGAACCTCTGTGTATCCAATTATATATTATTATAGGAACCTCTGTGTATCCAATTATATATTATTATAGGAACCTCTGTGTATCCAACGCTTCTACTGTTTAACCATTCCTGTTGTCCGAATACATTTAGAATAAATGATGGGAAGAAGGTAAGTTGGGTTCAATATACTAAAATAAATCATAATAAAATTTATTAAAAGGGACTGCCTTGCTTGTATGTACTAAAACTTACATTCAGCGCCCTCGGCTTGTTAAAAAATTTAGATTTATGCCACAAACAATAATTTTCTAATCCATATATCCTTTCAACTCGAAGGTGTAAACTCTTACAATTTTAAACTTAGACTATTCAATTTAGCAGAAATGATAGGGTTACAAGATATAGGGATTAGAACATCAGAGTGACAAAGTGATAACCGTTATAAATGGAATTAGCGTTGTTTTCACTTTTCTTTAATAAAGAAAATCCGTTAATTTTTTTAAAATTGTAATCTTTTAGATTTGTCCTGGGACCGAATTTAGTATTTTGAGTTAAGACGTTGAACTACCGCTGCGCCGGTTCGAATCTTGAACCACCAATTCAAAGTTAAATATTTGCGAGAATTTGAATTGGTAGTTCAAGATTTGAACCGGTGCATTTTAACCACCTCTCCAATTCATGAATATTGGTCCACGGACATTTTTGCAAAGAGTATCCGCAATGTTAAGGTTAAATTTACCAAAAATCAGCGGGATTTTTGATAAATAAAAAAGAAGAATATGGCCATCGTTATATTTTTGTACAGTTTTCCACTGTATGATATATCTGAATATAAAATCAAAGTTGTATTTTTTTGCTAAACTACATTGTATTAACGCGATGTTTGTTACAAAGCTTTATATTTGGAGCTATCAAAAGACTTTCTTAAAAAGTTGATTTGCATTGCATCAAGGTGATCTCGATTTCAATGCCTGAGAGTTGAGCAGTGTGTTAGCTGGCATGGACGGAACTTAGATTTATCTAAAAGCTTCAAAAATTGTCGTCTCTGAAAGTATTAAATAATACAAAAGTTCATACCCTTGTCTTAAATAATTGAAATACTTCTCGTGATCGCAAAGCATAAAATAATAATAGAACGCTATAAGCATACTATATAATTGATAAGATGCTTGTGATCGCCAAGCATAATATAATAATTGATTAGATTCTTGTGATCACCAAGCAGGATATCATAATTTATTGGATTCTCGTGATCGCCAAGCATAATATAATAATTGATTGGATTCTCGTGATCGCCAAGCATAATATAATAATTGATTAGATTCTTGTGATCACCAAGCATGATATAATAATTGATTAGATTCTCGTGATCGCCAAGCATGATATAATAATTGATTAGATTCTCGTGATCGCCAAGCATGACATTATAATTGATTGGATTCTCGTGATCGCCAAGCATAATATAATAATTGATTAGATTCTCGTGATCGCCAAGCATAATGTAATAATTGATTAGATTCTCGTGATATGCCAAGCATAATATAATAATTGATTGGATTCTCGTGATCACCAAGCATAATATAATAATTGATTAGATTCTCGTGATCGCCAAGCATGACATTATAATTGATTGGATTCTCGTGATCGCCAAGTATAATATAATAATTAATTAGATTCTCGTGATCGCCAAGCATAATATAATAATTGATTAGATTCTCGTGATCGCCAAGCATAATATAATAATTGATTAGATTCTCGTGATCGCCAAGCATAATATAATAATTGATTAGATTCTCGTGATCACCAAGCATAATATAATAATTGATTAGATTCTCGTGATCGCCAAGCATAATATAATAATTGATTAGATTCTCGTGATCGCAAAGCATAATATAATAATTGATTAGATTATTCGGATCGCTAAGTATGATATAATAATTAATTAGATGCTTGTGATCACCAAGCATTATATTTCAATTGATTACATTCTTGTGATCGCCAAGCATGATATGATAACTTATTAGATTCTCGTGATTGCGAAGCACGAGATAAATCCAGGAGATGAGGTCACGGATTGTTACGGGATTCATCATCTCAGGTATAACCAGTGATAGCCAGAATTCGTGTCGTCCTTGGTTTGTAATTTAATCAAAACCTTCGATTATTTTTTTAAAACTTTTACTGTTTTAAGTAAACTTAGAAAATTTCTATATTAATGACCATACGAAGACGACACTCATTTGGCTTTATACTGGTTTTCACTGTGCATGAAAACTATTTCATTAGAATTAGATTAATGCTCTTTGTGCACAATATTTACTAAAATCCCGATTATCAGTATTTATAGTTTGGTTAAGTAATATTGTAAATTTAGTCATTACCAAATAGATTATCAAGTAAATAGGTGGCAACAGAGAAATGGACCAATTTTACACAACGTCACAAGAGTCAAATATAACAAGAAAACCGAAATTGTCTCACATTAATTGACATATTTGCCAAGATTAAATAAAAAAGTGTAAAAACAGAAACTAAAGAACACATAAAATTACAATTATTTTACTGTAAGAAAAACACTTTATTCTAAAATTATCACTATTATTGATAATTTTGTCGGACACAAAAACTGAATTGAAACTTGGGACGACAGAATACAACTGTACTGAGAGTGTACAAATTCTAGGTTGCCATCTATTGTACTACAATCTATTAAAGAAAATTTTAGATTTACAATAATACACGGAGAAAGATTTTTTGTTTTTGCATCATTTTGGAGAAAAAATTATGATAAATAATTGAATCAATGTAATCGTATCCTTATATAAAATAAAATGTAAATATAGTTTTCTATATTCCTAGCATGCCAAGAGATGAACGGCAGCTGAAGTTGAGCCGAAGCTTTAAGTTTACCTGTACTTGTAAAGCATGCAGGTCAGTGAATATTCTATAGTGATACCCGGACAACTATGGAATAGTAAGACGACATTTAAGCAAATATCTTTACCAGGGACCAAATGAATTTTAGCTAGGTCGCCCTGAATTGCCTCCGTTTATTCAAATATTTATCTGAAGTTCATATAGTCAAATCCTAAATTAACGATCCAAATTACGTTGTTGAACCGTCTATAGACCGGGCTCAAATTCAGTTAATTCGGTTCCAGAAGCTTTAAAAACAACTCATCAAATAAAACAAGTGCACTTTACAATTTCTGTGTTTTATGTTCATTAGACTAAAAATCATAACATGAGTCTTAAAAGTGTCTTCCTATTCCGTACATTTTTGGGTCCCACTGAAATATAAAGCAAAGAGAAAATAGAAAAAAACAATTTCTTTTTGAACCAATTTCTGTTTGAACCAATTTTGTGAGTTCAGCTTTGAAGCTTACAAGCTTAGAAATTCAAGCAAAAAAGGTAAATGTTAAATCTTTTTTGCGTATAGTGAAGATTGGCCGTTGTTTCCGACACTGGATTCAAACCTGACTCAGTCGGAGATGGGTCGACTAGGAAACCATCTTTCTCTTTATCAGAAGAAATTCAAGGCAAGCTCTATCTTTAGATTCTATACTTCAGCTTTGTAAATTAGGGAGTGTTCACTGTTGAGATATGTGGGTATATAAGCTACTAAACAAATAATAAATAATAAATGAACGTGCAGCGTGCTTCTACCTGTTTTATAAAAGTATAATTTCTCCCATGACAGTTGAAGGTATAACTGCTATGATTCACTTAGTACCCTTTATACCACTCTAGACCTTTTTCGGATCTACAACAACATTAACATTAACACTGCATCTTAAATCCGCCAGTAACATTACAGAGATCCGCCATTGATTATGTTGCTCAAAGAAAGTTTGAAAGGGTACCAATTTGTGATTCTAAAATTACGCCTTAACCGTTCAAAGTTGCACAAAACAAACATATAATATTATCTAGCTTAAAAAAAACTATGTCAAGATTAAAACTATTTTTACATTAAAAATAAATAAGTTCAACTTAATGTAATATGGAATCCGACAAAAAAAAATTATATGTCTAAAACGGTGTTGGCATTAATAGGTTAGATGGAAACGAAGACGAGGAGAGGAAGGACAGCCACAACAATTTATAGTCCGAGCCACATTCTGCTCATTTTCTCGTCCGAGCCACATCTAAATCCTTGTCCTTCCAATATTATTTTTTAAAAGTGTATAGTCATCCAAGATAAAGCAATTTTTTCAAGAATCGGGGCACATTAGGGCGTAAATTAAATATTGAATTTTAGTTAATCGAAAAAAAAGGTTTCAAGTGAATTAAAGTTTTCGAATTCTATGTCCTTCAAAATGTTCACATTTTTTACATTTTCAGATATTCCTGGTGTTGAAGGCCGCAAATAATTCCGAGATTATAGAACTTTAATCTTTTTTCTTAATTAAAGTGAAAACCATAGATTTTTTCCTCCGGGTGGTTTCATGGGGAAAATGATAGGCAGAGGTATGCCAAATATTACAGAGGCAGAAGAGTTTTAAGTTTGACATCATTCTCATGTTGCTAAAGTTTCAAACATGATTTGAACATTGGAATACTTTAGTCTATCAATGTTTTATGTCCTAACGTGGCCAGATTTGTTAAAAATAGTTTTATCTTCAAGAATTAGAAATACATAATAAACGAAGGACGAGGATTTCGAGGTGATTAGGACGAGAAAATGAGGAGAATGTGGCTCGGACGAGAAGTTGTCGTGGCTGGCCTTCCTCTCCTCCGAAGACTGAATAATAAATCTGTTTAGGCTGGGAATTATCAAGAAGCTTACACCCATTGTCGAGACTATTTGATCAAGCTTAAAGAAATAGGCATCGTTTACCCTCATAGGTATCTCACAAGATTTTAAACTTAGTATCGAGAATAAGCTGTCCTTCATCATAAAGTCAGAATATGGTCTCTACACAGTCGAGTCTCATTTTAAACTGTTAAATTACATAACATAAATACTAAAAATGGTTGATCTCAAACAACAACAAAAAATGGTTAATTAATGTATTTTTTTTTAATATAAGACTCTTAGCAAATTTGAAAAGTCTCGTCAAAAATTGAGACTCCAGACTAACCTGTAAAATTATGATCTAAGACTTGAAAAAAATAATATTCTTATATTTTTCTTGTTATTTAGAAACTATGAGATTGCTGGACTCGCTCTAACAAGTTGTTTCTGGAAACCACTAGAAGAAAAATAATATTCTTATATTTTTCTTGTTATTTAGAAACTTTGAGATTGCTGGACTCGCTCTAACAAGTTGTTTCTGGAAACCACTAGAAGAAAAATAATTTTTTAAACATTATGAAATAAATAATTTAATGCTCAAGTTGTATTATAGTTTGTAATTAAGTAATGGTAAATGTTAATTTGAAAAAAATTGCAATAACAATTACATGAAATAATTTTTAGTTGAACAAATTTTAATAAAAGATACGGTACAACCGTACAAGATTGAAAATCTAAGAAATTTTTTGAGTTCATGAGTTTGTTGAGTAAATATTTGAATTTGTCCGCAAATGGTTGAATTTAATTTGAGTTTCTGCTTTAAATTAGTCAGTTATAAAATCTAGCAAAGTTACACACTATTCAGATATTAGGTCTTGTAGATTTATCAAATTGTACAATAAATATGAAAATTTTATGTTTTTACCTGACCAAATATTGGTTAATTCACATTGAGAACTAAATATAACGTATCCAATAAAAAGAATAGCAAGAGCAAAAATTGGCTTGGTTTGTAGAGTATATAGCTTTATGCACGCAAATAGAAATATATTAAAAAAGCACATTTCAGCTTCTCCCACGGTCAGTTTTAGTGCTAGAACTTTTAAAGCGTTTAAAAATTAAATTTAAAGTCATGATAAACATATTCACGATTTCGATCAGCATTTATCTTAACTAGAAATTCAAGGCGCTTCGCGCCCTTCTTTCTAGCCTTAGAGGGCGCTTCGCGCCCATCTTCTAAATTAGTTGTGAACATGTTCTCTTTGTGTACATCGTAAAACAAAACAAAAATAATTCATGGATTTTTACAAAAAATTTCGAGGATTTTCAAAATTTTTAAAAATTTAATGACGATCGAATTTTGATTGAGACAAATATTTGAAATTTTGATTTTTCATAAACCTTCCCTGGGGTCCCTAGATGTCCCACAAAAAAATTGGGCCCGATCGGTTCAGCCGTTTTGACGTTTATTGGATACAAACAAACAAACAAACAAACAGACAGACACCCAAACAGACAAGCCAAATTTATATATAGATGGGTCTTTTAATGAGAGGCAAAGATAAAAATTACTTTTCCTATTTTTAGCCTGAAAAGGTCATAATTTTCACAATTCTGGAATGATTTTGTAGAAAATGGTAAAAACCCAGTAAAAGCGTTTAATAAAAAAATTAACAAATCTGTTTATCATTATTTATAGATAATATAATATAATATATAGATAAGATAATATATCTCTAAATCTGACCATGGGAGAAACTGTAATGGGCTTTTTGCATATATTTCTTTATGCGCACAGAGCTAAATAACTTACAAACCAAACCAATTTTTGCTTTTGCATTTATTTTTCTTTGATGTGCACATTAGATTTAGTTCTCCATGTGAATTAACCAATATTTGGTCAAGGAAAAACATAAAATGATCAGATTTTTATAAATCTAATAAACCTAATATTTGAGTAGTGGATTTCTCACTTGGAAACGTTTTAATTCTAATAATTTTTCGATTGTTTCTAAAGCAAGAATTGCACAAGTCACTTTTTCAGAAAACAACAGTTAAAAATAATGAGTCTTCGAATAAAAAAAAAATGGATATTGATTCTAATTAATATCAGTTCAGACAAAGCTGTTTAGCTTTTCAGGGCACCCTTGTTAATCAAACATGCCACTTAATGATTGGAGGGTCACCTGAACCTACGTTTATATTCTTTGAAACCTATATATTTAATGACATAGTACGTAACGTGTGTATAATATAGGTTTCAATGTTTCTAAAACGTGGGTTGCCATTTTTTTGTTTTAAGAAATGTTAAAGTTTTGATTTTGTGTTGATTTCTATTCTGAATATACAAAAATGGCAGACCACATTTTAGTGATCCAAGGACTAAAATTAATTTCTGATTATTGTATTAGAATAATACTTTTAAGAATTAAAGTAACATATACATGAATTTTTGATGGAACATTAAATCTGTATAGAGCCTATTGTTAAAAAACAGTAAACTGAATTTTATTGAATAAATAAAAGTATTGTGAGGTTTGTAATGTTATAAAAACAATAATTATCTTTTCCAAGACAAACAATTTAAATAACAATAAATATTATCTTATGGGATTCACAGAATGTCGGAGGCGCATTGTGGAAGTTTAGAAAAACCCTGTGACACGCTGCATAGCTTGGTTTGCTAACTGTACACCGGAACCAGCTGTTTGCATTACAGCACGTGCGCCGCCATTGATTGCATTGAGTCCAGTCATTCCAGTAGAGAAAAATAGATTAGCACCGCCATTGAAAACAGCTTCCCCTGTTCGGAAGGTGGTTCCTGCTAGCTGAGCTGCCATAGTTGGTACAGCGATCAGAAGGTTCATACCATCTCCAACAATAGTGTTTGCTCCAGTAGCCCCAGCTCCAATAGCTTGTCCAGTGAATCCAACAACATTGTTGGGAACCTGGGAGACAAATCTTGTTCCAGTTGAAGCAACATTAGAAAGACCAGCAGGAACAGCTCCAGCTAAAGTATTGCCTGTTTGAAATGTATTTGAGGCAAGGTTGGTAAATGTTCCAGGGGCAGAGATGACAGCATTGGTTCCAGAGCTCAATGCTCCGGTTGAGAGCCGAAGTGCAGTAGAAGGAGCTTGTCTGAAGGCTGTAAAGGCTGTCTGTGGAGCAGCGACAACAGTTCTGACACCTGCATCAGCAATAGTGTTGGCAAATCTAATAGTATTGGCAGGAGCTGCTTGGACACTGTTGAACCCAAAGGCTCCAACGTTGTTGATTGCTGTTGGAACGGAGTTAACTCCTCTGACCGCAGAATTAGAGAGAGTGTTGATCGAGGTTGGGACAGCGTTGACAAAGTTTCCTGTCGTAGAGAGGACGGAGGACCCTGTGTTCCTGACGAGGTTAAAGGGTGTAAGGAGGATGTCCCTGGTGTTTTGTGGTCTGCTCTCCACTCCGAGCAAAGTCATCAACAATAAGGATACTCCCTAAACAGAGGGTGGGATTAGAAATAGAAATTTAATTTAATTGAATGCAGTTAGACCGTAATTACTGATGATTAAGAATAGTTTAGAATATTTTGCTGATCTAGAAATATTCAATAAATAAAAATAAATGCATAAAATGGAGTAGCATTAGAGGGATGAATAAGGTTACTTAATTTCTAGGCTTACATCTCAATACTGAAACGCGTGAAAGATTTTGAAAGGAAAATGAAACTATTTCATTATTATTACTATTACTATTATTGTTCAATCAAACTGTTACCATTATGCTTGATTGACAGCCCTAGATTACAGGGTGTTCAAATTTACTTTCTATACAATTAATTTTAAGACTAAATCATTGATATTACAAAATTGACTGTCTGTATTATAAAATGCATATATATCTCCAGACACGTATTTATACTTGCGGAAGACCTTGTTTTACAAAGCATATGGTTTAAGCAGGAAAATGTAATTTGATTCTACTACAGCCCTCATAAACAATAAAATACGATGAGAAGGAAATATAACCTTAAAACACTAGACATATAGATTATTTACTTGATATTTCATTAACATAGGTTATTCACTAGAAACACAAATTATTTACCCCCCCCCACCCCACCCCAGAAACCCTAATAAATATTTTTTTCGGAAAAAATCAGATTTTGCCTCATTTTCTTAAATTCTCCCATTCTCTAACAATATCTAGTTTAGAAGCGTACACTTTGGGCTCCCCCAAGATCAGAAAATTCTACGGTTTCCAGGGGTTTCCACGCCCTAACGGGTGCTAAACCTGGAAAGAAAAAAAAATCCTGTGTATCTTGCATGCATGTAGGACATATGTATAAGAATAGTAAACATTAACAGTAAAAGTTGTCATACAAAAATAAATTCATAAGTGTAGTATCTTGTTCTATCAATGTTGAATGAATACATTGATGAATGCATTTATTAATGAGGAAGGATGAATAGACTAAAGGATGAATAGTGGAAAGAATGAATGAATGAATGCATAAGGCTGGTGTATTGTTTTATAAATAATGAATGATGTTTGATGTCTGGTATAAAATAAAAAACCTGTTCTAAAAACAGTTAACATCTGATTTAAATATCTTTAAATGCATGTATTAAATAAATATTAATATATTGCAAAATTAACAGAAATGGCTTTAAATAGATTTGAAATAACGGATAATTTACTAAAAAGGTTCAAAATATTTTCTAAGAATTTAGTTTGCTGGGTTTGTATAGATCAATATGAATCAAGATCAAGAGGACCAGTAAGAATGGCTTAGATCAATATGGATCAAGAACAAGAGGATCAGTAAAGATTGCTTAGATCAATATGGATCAAGGATCAGTGAGGATTGCATAGATCAATATGGATCAAGGAACAAAAGGATCAGTTGGGATTATAATCGATTTTATTGAATTTTCAAAACCAGGTTTGACATAAATTTATGAGGATTAATTTTGGGGATCGTAATTAGGGATATTTGGGATTCTTATTGAAAATATTAGAAAACTTTAATTTCAAATATCTTTAGTATGTTTGTGAGAATTCATAGATTTTTAAAGTTCAAATATCTTTAGTATTTTTGTGAGAATATATAGATTTTTTAGATTAAAATATCTTTAGAATGAATGTATTGGGTTTGGAGGCACAAAAAAGACGAAATCTGGATTTCTGGATGACCTTGGATAGATACAACTAGACTGACAGGAACCAAGACCGGGGGGTACCGCCGCGTAAAACAAAATTATGGCCGACGCCCCTTAATGTCCCCTTTTGAGTGTTCGCGTGAATATCATGTAGACCCTGGCATGTGAGTAATGATTATCCCTGTATTAGTGTGTACGTGCTATCTTTACTCCAAGAGACTTGAATGAACACATGAAGCTGTATAGTAAACCTAAGAATCACGTGTATAATGAGCGAAGGTGTCGCAAAAGATGTGATTACAAGGAACGAACACACAACTCTTATTTAACCTAAATTCACTTACTTCATATTAAGAAAAATTTGTGTTTTATAAATTATACGGAAAATCATGATTTTATTGTTGAATGCGTTTAATAGTAGACTTTTGAAATACGGAGCTAACTTAGATCTCATTTGGAGTTTTAGAAGTTTACCAATTGGATAAAAAAGATGATCTGGACTTACTTAAGCAGCTTAAATTTTATCTCGTACTTATAATAATGTGACAATGTAATAACATTCTTTAGTTAATGTAACAACTTTACTGTAGCTAACGTGACAATGTAATAAAATTCTTTAGTTAATGTAACAACTTTACTGTAGCTAACTGAAGTTGAAATAAATTAAATTTGTGAAGAATTTGAGGTTGAAGGAAGTTAAAGCTGCGGGAGATAATAAGAAAAATAGAAGAATTAAAAGAAAAGGATAAGGAAGAGATTATCAAGAAGATGAGAGTAGGTTTGGTCATCATGTTAAGCCTTGTTTCAATAATATTCATGATGTTAAAGGTGCTCTAAATGAATTTGAGATTTTACTGCACAACACATAGCAAACTCCGTTTTTCTATAAGTTTGCTTTTATTATTATTTTCTAAGTTAAGATATTCATTAAAAAAGATTAATCAAAACGATTAGTCAAAACGATTTAAAAATGATTTAAAAACGATTAATCAAAACGATTAATCAAAACGATTTAAAAACGATTTAAAAACGATTAATCAAAACGATTTTACCAAAATAAAGAATATGGAAGAGCTATGGATAAGAAGAAAGTAAAGAGGAAAAGAAGAAAAAAACGTGAAGGGAAAATGTTCTTGTATGTAAAGATATCAGAATGATAATTACACAGTGGTAGCTGGTAGGGATTATATCAATACAATGAAGACGACTTTTTAATTTCAGTTTTGATTAACAAATATTTTTTTCGAATTACAAATTTACAAGTAATCAAAGAGAAGGCTTTTTAATTGACAGCTTCGCTGGACTTTTATGTTAAAGTGTATACATGCTGTTTAAGAGCTTGAGAAGTTGAGATAAATCAAAATTAGAATTAAAAGTCGTCTTCATTGTATTGACATTATCGCCTACCACTGTATACACGTATTATAATGCTATAAACAAAAACTGAAGGCAAAACAAGCCTTTAAAGAAACTTCGTGCATTCTCCATGGATATGATAAGTTAGGAATGTTATCAACGTAACCAACTTTTTTTTTAGGTTGGCCATAGTGTTTTTTCTAATATGACAACTATACTATACATGACATGACAACTAACCTTTAGCCAACATGAAAAAAGTATTTGTGTTAATGTGACAACAATACTTTAGTTAACGTGATAACTATAAATTAGATAACGTGGATAACGTGATAATTATAAATTAGATAACGTGGATAACGTGATAACTCTAAATTAGATAACTCAGATAACGTGATAACTATAAATTAGATAACGTGGATAACGGGAAAACTATAAATTAGATAACGTGGATAACGTGATAACTATAAATTAGATAACGTGGATAACGTGATAACTATAAATTAGATAACGTGGATAACGTGATAACTATAAATTAGATAACGTGGATAACGTGATAACTATAAATTAGATAACGTGGATAACGTGATAACTATAAATTAGATAACGTGGATAACGTGATAACTATAAATTAGATAACGTGGATAACGTGATAACTATAAATTAGATAACGTGGATAACGTGATAACTATAAATTAGATAACGTGACAACTTTACTTTTGCTAATGTAAAAAGAACACTTTAGCTAACTTGACAACTATAGTATAGCTATAGTGACAACGTAATAACATTATTTAGTAAATGTAACAACTTTACTGTAGCTAACTTGACAATGTAATAACTATTCTTTAGTTAATGTAACAACTTTACTGTAGCTAACGTGACAACGTAATAGAATTCTTTAGTTAATGTAACAACTTTACTTTAGCTAAAGTGACAACGTAATAACATGCTTTAGTTAATGTAACAACTTTACTGTAGCTAACGTGACAACGTAATAACATTCTATAGTAAATGTAACAACTTTACTGTAGCTAAAGTGACAACGTAATAACATTCTTTAGTAAATGTAACAACTTTACTGTAGCTAACGTGACAATGTAATAACATTCTTTAGTTAATGTAACAACTTTACTGTAGCTAACGTGACAATGTAATAACATTCTTTAGTTAATGTAACAACTTTACTGTAGCTAACGTGACAACGTAATAACATTCTTTAGTAAATGTAACAACTTTACTGTAGCTAAAGTGACAACGTAATAACATTCTTTAGTAAATGTAACAACTTTACTGTAGCTAAAGTGACAATGTAATAACATTCTTTAGTTAATGTAACAACTTTACTGTAGCTAACGTGACAATGTAATAACATTCTTTAGTTAATGTAACAACTTTACTGTAGATAACATGACAATGTAATAACTATTCTTTAGTTAATGTAGCAATTTTACTGTAGCTAACGTGACAATGTAATAACATTGTTTAGTTAATGTAACAACTTTACTGTAGCTAACGTAACATTGTAATAAAATTCGTTAGTTAATGTAACAACTTTACTGTAGCTAACGTTACAATGTAATAACATTCTTTAGTAAATGTAACAACTTTACTGTAGCTAACGTAACAATGTAATAACTTTTCTTCAGTTAATGTAACAACTTTACTGTAGCTAACATGACAATGTAATACCATTCTTTAGTTAATGTAACAACTTTACTGTAGCTAACGTGACAATTTAATAACATTCTTTAGTTAATGTAACAACTTTACTGTAGCTAATGTGACAATGTAATAACATTCTTTAGTTAATGTAACAACTTTACTGTAGATAACGTGACAATGTAATAACTATTCTTTAGTTAATGTAGCAACTTTACTGTAGCTAACGTGACAACGTAATAACATTCTTTAGTTAATGTAACAACTTTACTGTAGCTAACGTAATAACATTCTTTAGTAAATGTAACAACTTTACTGTAGCTAAAGTGACAACGTAATAACATTCTTTAGTTAATGTAAGAACTTTACTGTAGCTAACGTGACAATGTAATAACATTCTTCAGTTAATGTAACAACTTTACTGTAGCTAATGTGACAATGTAATAACATTCTTTAGTTAATGTAAGAACTTTACTGTAGCTAACGTGACAATGTAATAACTGTTCTTCAGTTAATGTAACAACTTTACTGTAGATAACGTGACAATGTAATAACTATTCTTTAGTTAATGTAGCAACTTTACTGTAGCTAACGTGATAACGTAATAAATTCGTTAGTTAATGTAACAATTTTACTGTAGCTAACGTGACAATGTAATAACTATACTATAGTTAATGTAAAAACTTTACTGTAGCTAACGTGCCAACGTAATAACTATACTTTAGTTAACGTAACAACTTTACTGTAGCTAACGTGACAACGTAATAACATTCTTTAGTAAATGTAACAACTTTACTGTAGCTAACGTGACATCGTAATAACATTCTTTAGTTAACGTAAAAACTTTACTGTAGCTAACTTGACAATGTAATAACTATACTTTAGTTAATGTAAAAACTTTACTGTAGCTAACGTGACAACGTAATAACTATACTTTAGTTAATGTAAAAACTTTACTGTAGCTAACGTCACAACGTAATAACTATACTTTAGTTAATGTAAAAACTTTACTGTAGCTAATGTGCCAAGGTAATAACTATACTTTAGTCAACGTAACAACTTTACTGTAGCTAACGTGACAACGTAATAACATTCTTTAGTAAATGTAACAACTTTACTGTAGCTAACGTGACAACGTAATAACATTCTTTAGTTAACGTAAAAAAACTTTACTTGAGCTAACGTGACCACTGACCGTTATCTGGAGAGGTTATCAGGTGTATAGAAATAGTCCTGTTGAATCAAATTAAAGTTGAATATATAAATATATTGTATAATCTAGTTTACTATCAATTTGACCATAAAATGACGGTAAAAGCCTAATCTAGATAATCAGAGATCATGTCGGGGGGAAGATGAGGGGAGGGAGAAGGGAGATATTGAGGGTAGGTTTCATCACATGCATTACACACTCTACACACTCCACAGTATTGATTCAAGATTTAAGGGATTGGAGATCGGTAAATAAAGGATTGGAGATCTGTAAATAAAGGATTGGAGATCGGTAAACAAAGGATTGGAGATCAGTAAATAAAGGATTGGAGATCGGTAAATAAAGGATTGGAGATCGGTAAATAAAGGATTGGAGATCGGTAAATAAAGGATTGGAGATCGGTTTATAAAGGATTGGAGATCGGTAAATAAAGGATTGGAGATCGGTAAATAAAGGATTGGAAGGGTTGCTTACAAATTTGGTTATTTAATGCTATAAGGAATTAGACTACAATCTAGATAAGTTCTACTTAATTTGTCGTGTACGCATATTTCGACCATTTTCCTGTTTGGTCATATACAAATATTCTAATTTTCAGAAATATTATAAACATAACGTGGATTTTTTCAAATTTTCAAAAAGTGATTTTTACAATTTTTTTTTTTTGATAAATATGACTTACACATTTTAAGGCGCGTACTTGAATATTTTAATATTCATTATTGAATTATTTACAAGTTTAATATTCATTATTGAATTATTTACAATTTTTATATTCATTATTGAATTATTTACAATTTTAATATTCATTATTGAATCATTTACAATTTTGATATTCATTATTGAATAATTTACAATTTTTATTATTCATTATTGAAATATTTACAATTTTAATATTCATTATTAAATTGTTTACAATTTTAATATTCATTATTGAATTATTTGCAATCTTATTATTCATTATTGAATTATTTACAATTTTAATATTCATTATTGAATTATTTGCAATCTTAATATTCATTATTGAATTATTTACAATTTTAATATTCAGTATTGAATTTTTTACAATTTTATTATTCATTATTGAATTATTTACAATTTTGATATTCACTCATCGAAAAATAACTCTCTAAAGTTTACTCCCAAAGAAATAATTCTTAATCAAAGTTTACTCCATGAGAAATAATTCTTAGTAAAAGTTTACTCCATGAGAACTTATTCTTAATCAAAGTTTACTCCCTGAGAAATGATTCTTAATCAAAGTTTACTCCATGAGAAATAATTCTTAATCAAAGTTTACTCCATGAGAAATAATTCTTAATCAAAGTTTACTTCATGGAAAATAATTCTAAATTAAATTTTACTCCATGGGGAATAATTTTTTTATCAAAGTTTACTCCCTGTGAAATAATTCTATCTGTTTTAGTGTAAGTTTAAATTGAAAAATTGTGATAAAAAAATTTAAATGCTCATTTTGTGAATTATTAACCAAATGTTTATTGTTAACATTAGTTAGAAGTTACTAAAGTGTTTAAAAATATCACAATACTTTCTTTGATAGAAATCTCCTGGAGATTTTTCAGAATACTCCTTTTCTCTTTTGATCGTTTTTCCTTTTTAAACCCTTTTTTCAAATTATCCAAATTTTCACTTAATAATAATTTTTTTCCTCTAAAAAATAATTCCTTAATAATTTCTATTCCGTCTTTTGATCCCCCTTACTTTTTCATTAATGATCATGTAAATCCCTATCCCCAGTTAATTCTTTTTTACTAAAGATCCCCTTTTTACAGAGTTAGTTGAGAGTAGAGAATTTGTTAAAGCAAATCTAGGGGATAAAATGCCCTCAAGAAATGAACAATAAAACTGCTTGAATTTAAAGTGTCGGTGCGAGTTTTTTACCATTATATTGTAATTTTAATTGTTGGTGTCTTAAACAATATAATATATTTGTGGTGAGGTTTAGGTTACAACTATAGAATTACAAAATTATTTGCAATTTATATTATTATTATTGTGGTCCTTTATTAAAACCACTTTATGTATCTTAATGTTTACATATAGGTCTAGAGAAGTAGGAAGGCTTTATAATGTTAAAGAGACTGTAAGCGTAATTTAAGGTGACCCTCCATCCAATTATAACAATGCCCGATTTACAAGAAACCACAAATGAAAAAAAAACAGAAACATAAAAAACGAATGAATCAGACATTGCTATGCTTGCATGAAAAGTCACTTTAAATTACGCTTACAGTCCCTTTAAGCATAAAAAATTAACATCAATTATTTAAAGAATAATTATTTTATACTTAATTAATTGTATACGCTAATATTTTAGTGTTGTTTTTAATAATCTTACTTTTAGATTTTAGTTTTTTATAAAATATACTATTAACATTTTTAAAAAAGGAGATAAAAACTTGCAATAAACTCTAATTTTCATTACTTTAAATCCCTATATATTTGCAACCTGATGCAAACTTTAATATTTTAAACTGTAGCTACTATATTTAGTAGAATTCATAGTTCGAAATATCAAAGGTCTCTGACATCAGGTGGTAGGCAATTATATCAATACAATGAAGACGAATTTATTAAAGATTTGATTGTTATTAAGCTTTTTTCCAATTTCAAGTTTACAAGTAATCAAAGTGAAGTTTTTTTAATTGACAGCTTCTCTTATCTTCTATATTTATGTGTATCCATGCTGTTTAACAGTTTGATATAAATCAAAATTGAAATCGAAAGTCGTCTTCATTGTAGTGATATAATTGCCTACCACTGTAGTAGATAAGTAGCTCATTTGTTAACAATACAGAAGAGAAAGAAATACATTGAATTATAGGAATGTACACAGAAGTGTACATACGCCATACCTGCTTCTGTATTAATATTAATTTTCTACTTTCTTAGTTTCTGTTTATCCTCCGCGTAAATAAAGTTTAAGACTAATTTTTAAAAAAAATAAAAAATTAAAATTAAAAAAATAAAATATAAAAATCACTTAGCAAATGGGTATCTAAATGTTTTAAATTTGTAGATTTTACAAGTAATAAAAAATACCAGGAAAAGCGTAAAAAACGATACAGGGCATTTTTTAAACATCATTAAGCACTTAGTTTAGAAAGCTATGAAATTGAAAAAAGTTATCACGTGATCGACATTTTACTTTTTTGATTGATCAAAGTTTAAAGTTTGAGACCCCCTTTGGAAAGATGAAAAGATAGATAGATATAAAAGTATATATATAGATTAGATATACAGATTATACACTAATTAACACTTAATAGGTTAAAATTATCTCATTAAGCGCTGATGAGCTGTAACTATCACGTTGTTCGTGCAGCACTGCTGATTGAAGTGATAAGATAATTACTCAAAAAACTTGTTTTTGTGCATAAATAAAAATCAATGATATGAGAGGTTTTGAAAAAAAAATTGAAAAAATTGATTCCAAAAGGAGTTTGGGGGGGGGGGTCTTCTAACCTTGGTCCACATGGTTTCTTGGTTCAACAAAGACTGAAGAGCTCAGAACCCATGCTTGGTCTTTTTATACCTTTGCGTAATTTCCTCCGCGTATACTCGGAGTGCAGCAGGGGGGGGGAGCGTCAACTTGCGTATTTTCTGTCCTAGCTTCATGCATAGACTACAAGTAGAGTAAGTAGTGTATGCACTCACGCAATTGTGCCAAACACTGTTTGTTTAATTTCGTTAGTTAATGCGTTTAGCGCGATTTAATTGCGACAAAAGCTTTTTATTGTTTTTAGAAGAACATTTTTTTAAACAACTAACTTACTCTAGATTACTCTATGGTTTCTAGGTATTTTTTGATGCGTCTTACAAAATACTACGCTTCAAAGTGAGGATAAGAACTGTAACTGTCTTTTTACTTGGCATTCCTAAACTTTCATCATGCAACAAAATATTTCGAATGACAGCTATATTTTAAAATAATTTTCTTAATCGATGCTTTTTTGAAATATTCTGTTATCTTATAACAAAAACTATTCAAAATAATATTGCATAGTTAAAAAAGACTGGCCAGAGCAAGGTATATAATGCAAGGAAAGTTAATTGCAGTTGCGTATGCTCTGCGTACATATTGAAACCAGTTCTCTCTAGGCGGAATTTGTAAACACAAATGGATGCATCAGTGTTTGCTTAGTATACGTGGAGAATAAAAGAATTTAATTTTGATAATTTTGATAATTCACATAATAGTTTCTTCTGACCAGAATATTTCATTGATTTTTTTGTGGAAGATGGATCCCATGTCAGGTTGTGACATCCGTCTTGTGTTTACATTACCGCCCAGAGACATTTCACTGCAGTACAAAAGATGCGTACACCTCTGAAATAACGTTCCTAGCATTATAACCTTGGACCAGAGGAAATTACTTATTTGCAGCAGTCAATCTCGTAATCAAGCTTACTAGACTGTTTTATCTAGGATTCATCTCCATCTTGTTCAAACGTACACGGCCGGTTACAGTGCCAGTGGTCGATCAGATGACGTCAAAATTATCTATCTATCAGATAGTACCAGTGGTCGATCAGATGACGTCAAAATTATCTATCTATCAGATAGTGCCAGTGGTCGATCAGATGACGTTCGAATTATCTATCTATCAGATAGTGCCAGTGGTCGATCAGATGACGTTCAAATTATCTATCTATCAGATAGTGCCAGTGGTCGATCAGATGACGTTCGAACTATCTATCTATCAGGTAAGAATTTAGCGTAAGACAACTAGCGGCCAAACTATCGTCCCCCAAAGTATAGTCGTTAGGACGGAAATTGTTCATACCGTCGGTGTAAAAGAACGGCCTCGGGGATCATTTGAAGTACCGGGCGGAAAGTGCAGCTAGAGCAAACTGTACTACTGTACAACAGACTATTCAAGGCAATACGAGACAGTTCACCAAATATGAATCAGCCCCTGGAGCCCCTTCTATAGTGGAATTGACTTCGATATCACATGGCAGGGATCGTAAACTGTAGGGATAACTAAAATAAAGGGATTAAACAATTTTCCTCAAATGTAAAGTTTCCATAGTCGAATTATTGACGTAATTGCAAGTGATGGGCATTCCTGGTTCAGAGTATTACTTTATTTAGCAAATATAAACCGTTATCTGAGCAAAATTTACGAATATATTTTATAAATTTCCTGCCTATAACTCGTGGTTTCTCTGTAGAAATGGCTTGCGGATTTATGCAGCATAGAAAAGTGTGAATCAGGCGTGACACTTTTACATTGGACTGTCGCTTGAAATTACAAATTACGTTGCTGTTTCTTTAATAATATCCTCCCTCCCACAGATTACACAGATAGTAAAATAGAGAAAACTTCAGATTTAAATACATTAAAAAAAGATTTGAAAACGTCATCATCCAGGGTGAATGAGTACATATGAAGATAGAGTACGCTTAAAGGGACTGTAAACGTATTTTCAAGTTACCTTCCATTGATAGATTGGTGTGTTCGATTCACAACGGTATCCTTAAAAGCTCTTTCTAATCAAGTCTGAATTAGATATCCATGTTTAGTTTGTGAAAACTATTTATTTCCATTCGGGATTTTCAATAAAAATTTGATAAATTATTAAAAAAACATTAAGCCAGAAAAACGAAGGTATCTTCCAAATTAGTGATCAGAACAATGTTTCAAGGATATCATTAAGAATCGGGATCATCCTCTTTTTAAAAACAATAACTATCTAACTTGTCCTATCTGTATCATCTATTCCATATCCCCATTACCTAATCATTTCCTTCCAAGTATTTATATAATCAACATAGTTTGAAGAAGACAATAGTTTTATCATGGTATCTACATTTCTCATTTACGTACATACATACAGATTACAGAGTTACTCGCAAAGGATGATACTTCAAAGACGACCTGAAACTTTTTTGGATACATCTATTCAAAGGTTGTTTTGGTTATGGTCCATTAGTGCCTGATCCAATCAGGGTTCAGTCATGTGTTTGTTGTCTATTCTGAACCAATAGAAATTGTATGGTGGTAACATCTATCTTTCTATCTCATTATCCAAATAGAGATATGAATCTCGTATATTTCTTTCGATTTTCCTTATTTTAAATTCATTTAACTTTCATCTCCTGTTCTTTTCTCACTGTTTCTAATTTTATCCTCCTTTCCTTCATTTTTGTTTTCTTTCTCTTTCTTCTCTCTCTCCCTTCCAAACGGATTAAGCATGAAAGAACAAAAAGCAACATGTTTTAAATATAAAAATGCTAAGGTTTAAAAAAGCAATGCAGTAGGAAAATTTCAGGATTACTATCTACGGTTCTAACTGTTAAGCGAACAATATCTGAGTGTGTGAGAACTGAGGTATTTACTATTTTGCTATTTATGTATATTTGAGTATTGATGTCTTTATGTTACCATGATGGTGTTCAAATTTATGAGAACTTTTCCCATTACTTCTTAAAACTGAAGATTAAATCAAGTGCTTTAAAGTTCTAAACTAAACGTGTCTAGGGCTACAATTAGTAAAAGTAAGTTGATTAGGTAAAATCGATGGTTGACCCCAGTGTTTATTCAGTAAAATATCAATAATACATTATTTACAATTTGTTTTTCATTTTGATATTTTAAGAGGAAAAAAAACAATATTTGAATATTTTTCTTGTCCTTAACCTACTCGAAGAATTAATTAACATTAATTTTAAATTTATTTGTTTCGATAATTTACATCTATGACAATATTGATTATTTATCATAAGTTACATTTTACTTTTTTAACAAATATCAAATACTTGCAAAATAAACTTACAAAAACTTAAGTACTTAGTACAACTAATAAATAAAGTTTTTGTTCTTGATTCTTGAGTCCTGATGAGTATATACAGGTTCACCCAAAAAGAATGAGAATGTAAAGACGACTTAAAATACTTAAAATATGACGATCGCAAGGTTTGATAAGTCCCCTAAGTATAGCCTTTTAACGGCTTACTAAATGATAAGGCAAGGAAAGAAAAAAGTCTCATCATTTGTGAGTAATCCTGTAGTTCCAATGTAACCCCATTTGTTTGGTAGTATATGTATACTGTACAATATACAATGTACTGTAGTAAACCAGTTATTGTACTGTAGTGCTGATTGTATTAGTTTCAAGGTAACCCCATTTGGATAGGTATACTATGCTATGCTATATACTATACTATGCACTGTTCTGTAGTTCCAAGGTCGGTCGGGTTGTTTGGTAGGATGTGAACACTGTACTGTAGCAAACCAGGTGTTGTACTGTAATAGTTCCAAGGTTAGCTGATTTGGTTTGGTAGGATGTGTAGTTGTACGAGTTGTACACTGTATCGTAGTAAACCAGTTATTGTACTGAAGGGCTGATTGTATAATGTATAGTTCCAAGGTAACCCAATTTGTTTGGTACAGAGAAACCCTTAATAACGAATACATCGGAAGAATTTATCAAATGTCGTCTTGACAATTTTTCAATGAGTTTTATACTATATTACGTAAATTTCAGTATTTGCGAAAATTAATAAATAGCCATTAATATGCGGGAACAGTTTTAAAGAGTTTCATATAATCATTTAATTAAAAAACTAAATATCTGCAACATTCCATTATCAGAAAGTGAAGAATACGACATTTGATGAATTCTTTTGATGTATTCGTTATTAAGGGTTTCACTGTAGTATATGTACACTGTACAATATACAATGTACTGTTGTAAACCAGTATACTATAGAGCTGATTGTAGTTCCAAGGTTGGCCGGTTTGGTTTGGTAAGATGTGTACACTGTTCTGTAAAAAACTAGTTATTGTACTATTGTTCTAATTGTATAGTTCCAATGCAGGTCAGTTTGTTTGGTTAAATGTGAACATTGTACTGTAGCAAATCAGGTGTTGTACTGAAGTTCCGAGGTTAGCTGGTTTGGTATAGAAGGATTTGTACACTGTACCGTAGCAAACCAATTATTGTACTGTAGTGCTGATTGTATAGTACCAAGGTTAGCCGGTTTGGTTCGGTAGAATATATGCACTGTACTGTATAAAACAGTTATTGTTCTTTAGTGCTAATTGTATAGTTCCAAGGTAAGTCGGTTTGGTTTGGTAGAATGTGTACTGCAAGAATACTGGACTTTTTTCCAACAGTTATGCTGAACTTCATACTTTGCCTAAAAAAAATGGTTGAACATTATAATTATTATGAAAGCTGATCATTTAGAAAATAATTAATAAATAGATGAGTAGATTGATCACCTGCTGGTGATTATATTGTTGCTGCCGGTTAAATCAACTTGAATTGTCTGATTTCTCTCAGTTTTATTCTGAACTACGATTGATGCTATATCATCAGAACGCTAAAAAAAGTAGAGATGATAAATCTAAAAATGTACAGTATATTCAATTGTACAGCATACACGGTACACCAATACCGAAATGTGTACTTCTGTGCAACGAATACACTTACAGTATTTACAATTGTACAGCATACACCGGTACTTGGATGTGCACTTCTGTGTAGAGTACACTGTACAAAATATACAATTGTACAGAATACACCGGTACTTGGATGTGCACTTCTGTGTAGAGTACACTGTACAAAATATACTACTGTACAGCATACACCGGTACTTGGATATGCACTACTGTGCAGAGTACACTGTATAAAATACACAATTCTAAAGCATACAACGGTACTTCTCTGTGCAAGTTTTAAACGTGTATTCTAAAAATTGTGGATTGGATTGTTAGATCTTTACAATATATACACCAATATTGTAACTACAGTATATACACTAATATTGTAACTACAATATATACACCAATATTGTAATTACAGTATATACACCAATATTGTAACTACAGTATATACACCAATATTGTAACTACAATATATACACCAATATTTTAATTACAGAATATACACCGATATTGTAACTACAGAATATACACCAATATTGTAACTACATTATATAGACCAATATTGTAACTACAGTATATACAACAATATTGAAACTACAATATATGCACCAATATTGTAATTACAGAATATACACCAATATTGTAACTACAGTATATAAACCAATATTGTAACTACAGTGTATACACCAATATTGTAACTACAGTATATAAACCAATATTGTAACTACAGTTTATACACCAATATTGTAACTACAGTATATACACCAATAATGTAACTACAGTAAATAGTAAAAAAAAACATGTAGTGTAGAATGTAGTGTACAGTGTACAGGTACACTGTACACTATATTCTAGTACCTGGATATAAACCCAAATACGTTTAGGTCCAGGAATCAGTACAGTACCTGATTATAAACCCAAATATGTTTAGTTCTAGGAATCTGTACAGTGTATAGTGTACAGTTTAACATGTACACTGTACAGTATCGTACCTGAATATAAACCCAAATATGTTTTGTTCCAGGAATCTGTACAGTGTATACTGTACAGTGTAACATGTACACTGTACAGTACAGTACCTGATTATAAACCCAAATATGTTTAGTTCCAGGAATCTGTACAGTGTACAGTGTACAGTTTAACATGTACATTGTACAGTCTCGTACCTGAATATAACCCAAATATGTTTTGTTCCAGGAATCTGTACAGTATATACTGTACAGTGTACCATGTACACTGTACAGTACAGTACCTGATTATAAACCCAAATATGTTTAGTTCCAGGAATCTGTAAAGTGTATAGTGTACAGTTTAACATGTACACTGTACAGTCTCGTACCTGAATATAAACCCAAATATGTTTAGTTCCAGGAATCTGTATAGGACTCTCACTTCCTTCCATAACAGATCTAAATAAAGATTTAACTGGGGGTCAGATAAAATAAAGTATCTACTTAATCATTAAAACCAACTGACTAGCATTTTTGCGAGCTCTCATTGATCTACTAGAAATATACTAATGAAATTAATTTAATCTGTGTTGGGCAGAAATTTACAGATTAGTATTTTCTAAAGGGATTATCAATCCAAAAGTTAAAACCTCGTAAACTTCGTTATAGTTAACTCTTAATTACCTAATCATAGTTTTCTCGAGGATTAAACCTCCTGATTTAAGTCCTGATATCTCCAGAGCTGGGGGGTCAACACTGCTGGAACTGACTGTCAATCTGTAGCCGGCTGATCCGCTCTGTGCAAGGTTTCGATCATATCTGCATATTTTGATTGTTATTTTCTTTCGTATTGAAAAGGAAATTTGAATTAGCCTTTAACTTTAATTTATTGATTACTATATGTTTGCAAACTTTTAGAATCTGATCTTCTTTTGAAATATAAAAAGTTTTCAACACAAGGTTGCAAAGATATAAGGATTATACAAATCGAGTGCAAAGTTCCAAAGTAAAGGAAGAAAACTTCAGACTTTAAAAAATAATTCTGATTGTTCTACACCTACCCCATAGATTGTAGTGTAACCCAAAGTTCTTCACCTACCCCATAGATTGTAGTGTAACCCAAAGTTCTGTAGAATCTCCAGAATTTTCTTCTGCTTCCATTAGATGTAGAGTATTGAACCCTTCTAGAGTTAATTCTCCGTTCTTAACAGAGTAGATAAATAAGTCAGTTCTCCGTTTTTAACAGTATAAATAAGTAAGTTACCCGTTCTTAACAGAGTATGATAAATAAGTTCTTATATAAATAAGTTCTTATAATATGATAAATAAGTTCTTAACAGTATAGATAAGCCAGTGACCCGTTTTTAACAGAGTATGATAAGTCAATTACCCGATCTTAACATAGTAGATAAGTCAGTTCTCCGTTGTTAACACAGTAGATAAGTCAGTTCTATGTTCTTAACATAGTAGACAAGTCAGTTCTCTGTTCTTAACATAGTAGATAAGTCAGTTCTCCGTCCTTAAAATAGTAGATAAGTCAGTTCTCCGTTCTTAACATAGTAGATAAGCCAGTTCTCCGTTGTTAGCAGGGTAGATAAGTCAGTTCTCCGTTCTTAACATATTAGATAATTCAGTTCTTCGTTGTTAGCAGGGTAGATAAGTCAGTTCTCCGTTCTTAACATAGTAGATAAGCCAGTTCTCCGTTGTTAGCAGGAAGTCAGTTCTCCGTTCTTAACATATTAGATAATTCAGTTCTTCGTTGTTAGCAGGGTAGATAAGTCAGTTCTCCGTTCTTAACATAGTAGATAAGTCATTTCTCCGTTGTTAACAGGGTAGATAAGTTAGTTCTCCGTTGTTAGCAGGGTAGATAAGTCAGTTCTCCGTTCTTAACATAGTAGATAAGTCAGTTCTCCGTTGTTTACAGGTTAGATAAGTTAGTTCTCCATTGTTAGCAGGGTAGATAAGTCAGTTCTCCGTTCTTAACAGGGTAGATAAGTCAGTTCTCCATTGTTAACAGGGTAGATAAGTCAGTTCTCCGTAGTTAAGAGGGTAGATAAGTTAGTTCTCCGTTGTTAACAGGGTAGATAAGTTAGTTCTCCGTTTTTAACAGGGTAGATAATCAGTTCTCCGTTGTTAATAGGGTAGATAAGTTAGTTCTCCGTTGTTAACAGGGTAGATAAGTTAGTTCTCCGTTGTTAACAGGGTAGATAAGATAGTTCTCCGTTGTTAGCAGGGTAAATAAGTTAGCTCAAACTCTAACTTTCTAATTCCATATGTTTGCAAAGTGAAAGTGTAAACCTTTAAACTTAGACAATATATTTGATTAAGTTGCAAAAATGCAAGATTTAGGAATCAGAGTTGAGACGAGTAATCAGTTCTTTTTTAATTAATTGATGTTTTCTATTTTACCCTGTATTTTGTGAACATTTTTTGAAAGAATTGTTAATAAAGACAGTGCACATTAAAGAATAAGAAATTCGTTTATTTTTATCTATTGTCATTAAGACTAATGCTGGATATTTCTTTAAAAAGTTAACCTTTTATATGATTATTGATATCATATTTATATTTTTCTTACGTTCAGTATATATATTTATTTATATATATACTGAATTTATATCTTCTAATTAATATTTGTATATATGTATGTATATATGTACATATACTATATTACCAGATATTATGCATATATAAATCTACATAATTTTTAATGTTTATCTATAGAGGAAGCAATTAGAAAAATTACTTATAAGTTTTCTGTATTGAACATTTTTATCATTTTTGCAGTTATATTTTTGAAGATTGGTATTTGTCTGGTGTTTGATGTTTATTGGATACAAACAAATAGACAAATGTAAATTATAGATTCACAAACCTTTAATGGAAAATTTTCTTCTACGACTTCCCATTCTTCATCTGCAATCTAAATTATATAATCAAATAATCCCTGGACTTCTGATCCCAATTCTTTTCGATAAACTTTTGAACTCCATAACACTTTACTCTCAACCCTAAACTCCTTTTAACTTTAGTTCTACTTTGACTACCTTCTTCTAACTTTTTTCCTTCCTAACTTTCTACTTCCTAATTCTGGAATCTAAATTTGTACCCATGACCTCCATCGTCCTAGCTTTCTACTTCCTAATTCTGGAATCTAAATTTGTACTTTTGACCTCCATCTTCCTAACTTTCCAATTCCTAATTCTGGAATCTAAATTTGTACCCCATGACCTCCATCTTCCTGACACACACCTTTACTTTTTTTTACCTTTTACGTTTTATTGATATCTTTTTCCATCTTTTACTTCCATTCACATTTCCAACCTTTTCCACCTCTGACCACCTTCTTTCTTCCTCTTGCTACATACTTCCTACCTCTTGTTTCCTACTTCTTACCATTCACCACATAATTTCCCTGGTCTCTTTCTTCCTTTATCTAACCTTTAACCTTCCACATCTACCTCTGATCTAAAACTTCCATTTATAACTTTGACTTTCTACTTTCTTCCAAAATCTTCTGAGACTCTGACCTCTGATTTCCTAATTTCCCACCCTTGACCTCATACACGTCTTACTTCTGACTTCCTGCAGCCACCTCTGACCTATTACATCCGATATTATCTTGGACTACTTATAAACTATAACATCATACTTTCCACTTCTTTTCACCTCTGAAACCTCCTATTTCTAACCTATGACTTTCAACCAAAAACGACCTCCTGACCTCCTACCTGTTCTCCACTTGTCCTCCAATTAAAGAGATTAAACTCTTCCCTTGACAATGTTCCATTTTCGTCCAAATCAACCTGAATTTTTTTAAATCTTTAATCAACAAACAATTAATAATTTTTGAATATTTTTTTAAAACAATATTTAAACATGCGAAATTTTTTTTTCAAAATGCTTCCAATAAAAATGACAAACTTCACAAAATCTCAAAAACTATATTTTGTTTAAACCAATTGAATGGTTGACTAAACCTTTTATGAATCTTATATTTACCAAATCAAATATCTCGGTGAGAACCTCTCTGAATTCGTCACTGAGTCCGATTTTATCTGTCCTGGAAAATATAAAACTCGAATTCACCATAATATTGGTTTTCTTAGATTTTATCTGTCCTGGAAAATATTAAACTCGAATTCTCCATAACATTGGTTTTCTTAGATTTTATCTGTCCTGGAAAATATTAAACTCGAATTCACCATAATATTGGTTTTCTTAGATTTTATCTGTCCTGGAAAATATAAAACTCGAATTTTCCATAATATTGGTTTCCTTAGATTTTATCTGTCCTGGAAAATATAAAACTCGAATTCACCATAATATTGGTTTTCTTAGATTTTATCTGTCCTGAAAAATATAAAGCTCGAATTCACCATAATATTGGTTTCCTTAGATTTGATCTGTCCTGGAAAATATAAAACTCGAATTCACCATAATATTGGTTTCCTTAGATTTTTCCGGCTCAGGGGGCCTGTGGCACAAATTCATTAAACTTTGCAAACGATTTTTTTTTTAAAATGGCAAGCAAATAGGGATACAGCATTAATCTTCTTTTAGGATCGAGCAGTCAACATTTTTTTTGAATATCAAATGTTTTCAACTTTTGGTCGTAAACATATTATTAGATTAGAAAATTAGTGTTTAAGGCAGTTCCTGAAGCTAAGAAGAGAAAATAAAAAACCCTATAATTATGATTACCTGCTGATAATTTCTTTCGGTTCGCTTCCATCTTTAGGTTTAGCTTTCCTGTTTAGTGAAAATCTAGCATAAAAAACAACACTTTTTGTAAGTTACAGATAGTTGTATATCATACAAGGTAGATATATAAGTAAGTAATTTATTTATACAATAAGAAAAAAATACTGCACCCTTGATCGTAATTATCAGTATAACATGAATATATTGATTTATTGTGTTATTGAATATAGATGATTTATAATCCTAAGTATAGCTCCAGTAGTGTACGGTATAATTGTGTACACTGTACATATATGTACAGTGTACGTTATTAGTAAATGTGATTGATCATCCCTAAGTACAGCTCCGGTAGTGTATAATTGTGTACATGTAAATGAATATATATGATTGATCATCCCTATTTACTGTCCATGTAGTGTATGGTAAAATTGTGTACATATTTGTACATAAATTTTTATGCTTGATCATTCCTAAGTACAGCTCCGGTAGTGTACGGTATAATTGTGTACATATCAGGTGGTAGGTCTCCAGTCCACTGATGAAACCCATCCTCGAATATTCAACATTAAAATTAAATATTAAAGTTCTGTGAAAAAAATGAAGTCCTAAATTTTGGCACTAAAAAGTCCTGTGGAAACCAAGTCCTGTGGAAACTATGTCCTGTGGAAACTAAGTCCTTGAAATAAGAAATTTCTGGAAATAAAGTCCTACCACTTAGACACTTTATTTTCTAGGACGTTTTTCCGGTTCCAGTATGATTTTTTAAAATGAGTCTCCGGAAAAAAGTCCTCTTGTAGTGGAAAATGCATGGGAACAAAGGATGTTTACAACCATGGACAAAGGAACTTAAAACACTCGTGGCTATATTCAACGCAAAGTCCTTTTTATGAAAACTTCTTAGACTTGACCTTATTTTCACTTGGGACTTTTTTCTTCAGGACATTAAATCCTACGATCTTATTTCCTAAGACTTTTTTTGCAGCCCCCATACTATTTTAGGGGAAAAAGTCCCATGAATCTAAAACTCAGGACTTTATTTCTAGTGACATTTTGTCATAGGACTTCAGAAAATTGGGACTTTTTTACCAACGTTTTTATTTCTAGGTTTTTTTCCAGAAACTTTTTTCCTGTGACTTTCTTTAGATTCAAATTATTGGAACAAACTTTGCTTTAAAAATACAATTAATTTGGTAGAAAATCCCATTACCTCTGGTGAAGATCTGGCAATACAAAGATTATGTTATTACCTTTGGCGAGGATCTGGCAATAAAACGTTTATGTTATTACCTCTGGTGAATATCTGGCAATAAAACGTTTATATTATTACCTTTGTTGAGGATCTGGCAATAAAACGTTTATGTTATTACCTCTGGTGAATATCTGGCAATACAAAGTTGATGTAATTTTCTTTGGCGAGGATCTGGCAATAAAACGTTTATGTTATTACCTTTGGTGAGGATCTGGCAATAAAACGTTTATATTATTACCTTTGGTGAGGATCTGGCAATAAAACGTTTATATTATTACCTTTGGTGAGGATCTGGCAATAAAACGTTTATGTTATTACCTTTGGTGAGGATCTGGCAATAAAACGTTTATATTATTACCTTTGGCGAGGATCTGGCAATAAAACGTTTCTGTTATTACCTTTGGCGAGGATCTGGCAATAAAACGTTTCTGTTATTACCTTTGGCGAGGATCTGGCAATAAAACGTTTCTGTTGATCGAAAACGAAAAGACAAACGTCTACAGGTCTTCCTGGAAACCTTTTCTGCTCAGCAATCTAGAAAAATCAACTTTAGGAAATATAATTTATTTTTAAATTAAAATTAAAATTTAATCTATTAAAAATACAACACTTATTACAATTTTTTAAGGTCTTTAAATATTTCATAGTAAGACAGAAAAGATATCGATATCAAGATATATACTATCTATGCATCTGACCTAATTGAAAAAGTATGTGAATAAGCATAAATTGGATATAATTTAGATTGTTAAAAAGGCTCCTCCCTCTTTATTCTATGAAATGTCTCATCTTTGAAATATCTATTTCGTGAAATGTCTTTTGTGACCTGTTTTATTCTTAAAATCACAATGTTCAACCATTATTAATCAATTTATCTTCGTATACTGTAGAGAAATATGTTTAAACTGTATGTTCATTTTCTACCTTGATTTGAATATTTATTTTGGAGTGTTGCAGAACTGTTAGATGATACTGATGAGATATTATAGTTTCACCCTCCAGATAGAAACAACCCTGAACAATATAAATATACTGTTAGATGATACTGATGAGATATTATAGTTTCACCCTCCAGATAGAAACAACCCTGAACAATATAAATAAACAACTTAAAGGGACTGTACGAGCAATTTCAAGTCACCCTCCACACGGGTAGCCGCAGTACATTAGAATTTCCGAGCCGGGTCAAACTTTCCGGTCCCAGTTTCAATTGTACCTAGCTCTATGGACAGGACTAGCCGCGCCGGTGCAACAAGGTTGACGCGGACAGACTTAATGCCTCATTTAGGTTGAATTTCTTTTACTAAAGGGGCAGAGGTGCGTGTCCATGCAAAGATGGTAATGCCCGATTCACAACGGTACCCTTGAAACTTTTATCGAATAAATTATGTAGAAGATATTGTTGTTTGTGTTTAAAAGTGTTTAAATCTGATAATTCATGTTTGCGTTCCTTCAGTAAAAATGCTAACAGACCTTTTAAAAATCATTTACAAGATACCTTACAGGAAGTTTAGGGATGTTTATTGTTTCTTTTACCAAGGATTCCCTCGACCAATTTTGCCCAAAAAACATCCAAAGCACATCGAGGGATGTTTTGTAGGCAAAATGGGTCAAGGTAGCATGTTGTTGAGTAAAATTTTATATAGTGTCCCGAAAAAGTAACTCGTAAACAATTTTATCGTCTTTTGAGATGTTAATACGCGAATTTTTGCATGAAAACTTGGGGTCGTTATTTTACTAAATTTCCCAAGGGACGTTAAGTAACTTAACGTCTCTATATTAGGTGAATCATTGGTCAGTAATGTTGGTTAAACGGTGGTAAAACATATACAAATATTTGTTCTAAGGAAATTAAGTAAAATCCAATTTTCCGAGTACGTAAAATTCTTTGATATTTTGATATCCTAGGTTCAGACTTCTCAAGAGTATTATATTTAAGGAAAATATCCGCTGCTATAGAGTTTTATAAATCAAAATAGCAGAATTTAATAAGTTTTTTGTTTCTTTTTCATATTTATGTTCTTCTATATATAAATTTGGCTTGTCTGTTTGTCTGTTTGTCTGTCTGTTTGTATCCAATAAACGTCAAAACGGCTGAACCGATCGGGCCCAAATTTTTTGTGGGACATCTAGGGACCCCAGGGAAGGTTTATGAATGATTGAAATTTTAAAAATTTGTGTTTAAGAGGTTTTTAATTTTGTAAAAAAATTTAAATTTTTGAAAATCCGCGAATTTTTTTTTAAAAATCCGCAAAACTTTTTTCATCTTTGTTTTGAAATGTAAACAATTCGAACATGTTCCTAATTTAAATAGAAGATGGGCGCACAGCGCCCTAAAAGCCTAGAAAGAAGGGCACGAAGCGCCTTGAATTTCTAGTAACATAAATTTAATTAAAAACAGCTTCTATAATAAAATTGTTAACGTAAGGGAATTTTATAATTAATTGAGAACCAACAAGAGAAATCTAGGCTTTCAGTTTTTATTTTCGATTCAAGTCAGGTTGTTTTTTTAAACTATGCTTTAGCAAAAAGCGTCAGATAAAAATAATGATTTTTATCCATATAGTTTCTTGCCCCCCCCCCCCTCAAAACTTATAAGTAATTATTCTTGAGTCACCTTTTTGGTTTGCAGATGAGTAAGTGATGCTTCTTGCTCTGGATCTTGGTGAACTTGAGCCTGGACCTCTAGATTCTCGTGAGGAACATCAAGGGAGAGGTCAACAGTGTCATCCTCGGTTACATCCTCAGTGTTAAGAACTCGTTCTCCAGGGTGATCTAGAGCTGGAGCTGAAACCGGGGCCGGAGCTTGAACTTCTTTTTCTGGACTTGGAAGGGAGGATTTCCTTTTTACCTTTATAAATTTAATTATATGCAGATTTATTTTTTGTTCAAATTTTTAACAAAGAAAAATGTTGACAAAGGAAAAGCATTTAGGGGAAAGGTAGATTACAATTCCTAAGGCCGAAATTGAAGAATTTGAGTCTCGGCATAAATTTGAGACACGGCTCAAATATGGTTGGTTCCACTTAAATTTGTATTCAATTTTTCAAGATTTAAGACGGCGGCCGGCGCTCAATTTGGCGGATTTGAGTCGCGGCTCAAATTCATTAAATTCGGACTCTATTTACCTTAAATGTTCTGGAATTAATTTGTAGTTCAGCCTCTTCGTGACGTAATCTCTCCAGGGCTAAAATGTAAACAAAAGATTTTTTGATAAAATCTCCAAAACCTTAACTTTAAAAAGCAAGAAAATAAAAGAGAAACAAACAAAAATAATAATAAATCTTGAAATATAAAATTTAATAAATTTTACCTAATTGCTGAAGATGCTGTGTAGTTTCCACAACATGTTCACAAAAATCTCTAAAAATTAAAAAGAAAACACTGAAATATATTATTTATTATTTATAAATAAAGGGAGTAATGATCAAGAAATAAATCGTTTTTCATTAAAAGGAATACAGAATGCAGAATGCAGAATGCAAAATGCAGAATGCAGAATACAGAATACAGAATGAAGAATGCAGAATGCAGAATGGAGAAAGCAGAATGCAGAATGCAGAATGCAGAATGCAGAATGCAAAATGCAGAATACAGAATACAGAATACAGAATACAGAATACAGAATACAGAATACAGTTTTATCTAAACAGTGACATTTTTTCTATGTTTTTTGTCTTGTCAGTTTACATATTTCTATAAATAAATAAATAAATAAATAAATAAATAAATAAATAAATAAATAAATAAATAAATAAATAAATAAATAAATAAATAATGATTTAAAATAATGATTTATTCTGATAGAATCAAATATTGAGTATCGTTCACAGATAATTATGGAAGAAATAAATGATTGGTTCAGCAGTCCTCGGATATGTAGAATACCAGATTTTCTATATTTTTCTGTCCTGGCATGATTAACATGATACTGCTCCTGGTGGCGTAGTTGGTGTTCATGTGGGTGAACAGCAGCAGGGACAAGATGACGATGTTTGGAAGTTTTAATACATTTATTTGCAAAAGAAAGGGGTAGCTTGTCCCTTCTTGACTCCAGGGTCTCCAGTTCACAGGACTCCAGTGCACTTATATATCCAACATGATCTTTGCCTAGAATAATTTTTAGGCAAACTCTCTGTTTTTTTTTCGTTAATAAAAAATAAAATATAGATATTAAACCATTTTTCACTTTTCTTGTTTTTCCAGTATTCTCTTTTCATTCTTCTATGAACATTCCTCAGTTCCGGAGTCATCCATTTATAACTCATTAATACTCATTAAATCTTAAATTGAATTAAACTTCATTTCATTTCCTGCAGATTTACGAGGGATCGCAAATGTTGACAACGTGGGGACAATGTGCTTGAAAACCACCCTGTTATCAACTAATATATATTTTTACAATGTAAGCTTTAATTTATTTGTTGAAGTTATAAATATTTTAGGCGTACATGGAGGTACATGGAGATACATGGAGGTACATGGAGGTACATGGAGGTACATGGAGGTACATGGAGGTACTAGGAGGCACATGGAGGTACATAGAGGTACATGGAGGTACATGGAGGTACAT